GATAGATAGATAGATAGATAGATACATAGATACATAGATAGATAGATACATAGATACATAGATAGATAGATAGATAGATAGATAGATAGATAGATAGATAGATAGATAGATAGATAGATAGATAGATAGATAGATAGATAGATAGATAGATAGATAGATAGATAGATAGATAGATAGATAGATAGATAGATAGATAGATAGATAGATAGATAGATAGATAGATAGATAGATAGATAGATAGATAGATAGATAGATAGATAGATAGATAGATAGATAGATTACTAACAAGATAACATTTTTTATAATTATGTATGAAGATTCGGTTGGTTTAATTACCTGCGTTTAAATGCTTGTGCTATAAAATTTCCCAAATTTAACAAGACTTTTTTTCTTTTTAGAACTTAATAAATCAATAAATTTGTACATGCTCGGATTTTTCACATAATATTTTGGTATAAATTTGTTTCTCAGGTCAGAATAATTTTTGCATGTGATTATAAAATGAAATTCATCTTCAATATCATTACCGCAAAAATAACATAATCTTTCATTTCTTGGTTTTCGATTACGCCCATGTCTAAGAGATTCTATAAATAAACTATGCGACGACACGCGATTCTAGTTATGCTATTACGTATTTTAAACGAATTTATTTTAATCAAGTAATCCGATTTACCAAAGCTCGGTTTTAAATGTATGTACAAGGATTTCAGTATTTCATTTTTTTAAAATATCTCCTAATAGTTTCTGTAAGGCACAATCCGTTACTGTTTTCTTAAACGAATTGACAATTAATTTTAAATTCTTAATTTCATGATTTACAAAAACAGAGCTAAATTTTCTTCATATTCATCGAGCAGTTTTTAACATAGAAAACCTAATTCTTTCTACCATTATAATACTGCGCCAATGAATGTGCATAATCTGATTTTAATAGCATATTATACGTATTGATAATCTTTACCCAGTATTTAATAATATGTACAAAACGAAATACATATAAAGGATAGCGACCCAATTCTGCATATATAGCTGCGTTACTTGTCGATTGTTTTACACCAAGGATTGTTTTGCAAAACTGTAGATGAATACGCTCTAATTCACAAGACTTAGTAAACCCCCAAATAGGACTACCATAATTTAATATCGATCCTACGAATGCATCAAAAAGTTGCAATGAAATATCCAGACGAATGTTATATCTTTTGATAATATTTAACAATGTGTACATCGCCCTAAGTGCTTTAACTTTTAGACATTTTATATTTAAAGCGAAAGTACCAGTGTAATTCAACGTTATTCCCAAATAATTGAAATCATCAACAATTTCCAACTGTTCATCATTATAAATGAAATGTTCATTTCTTTTAACTGGCCCTTGTTTCCTAAAAACAACAACTTTGGTTTTTGCAGTGTTTACCTCTAAACTCCATTTTTCACAATATTCGCGTAAAGAATTCAGTCTCGATTGTAAATCTTCTACAGAATCGCCACATATTACCATATCATCCGCAAATAACAAAATTACAAGACAAATTTAATTAATGGTTAGGCCAGTTGTATTATCTTGCTGCAAAAACGATTCAATGTCTTCAATAAATAAGGAAAAAATGTCAGCGAATTTGTCTGCCCCTGACGTAAGCCCACCGCGATTTCAACAAATCAGAAAATTCATTATTAGATTTTACACTAGACTTTACAATATTGTACATGTTTCTAAACATTGTTAAAATTTTACCATTTAATCCTTTTTTGTACAGTTTAAACCACAACGCGTCACGGTTCACTGAATCAATTTTTTTTTTCCAGATCAACGAAAGCACAATACAGACGTTTTTTGTCGTTTAAGCTTTGCTCTATTAAATTCTGCAGTACAAAGATTGCATCTACGGTACCATGATTTTTTCTAAAACCGAATTGCGCATCTGGTAATTTTTTTTGACTCTCACACCACTTAACGACTCGCGCATCTAAAATCCCCGTAAACAATTTACCGAGATTACTTAATAACGTTATACCACGATAATTATTGACGTTATTCACATCACCTTTTTTATGTAGCGGTATAATGAAACCTTCGGCCCATTCTCTGGAAAAACACCTGAATCAAAAACAATGTTACAAAAATCCGCTAAATGCCCGTCTAAAATGTCAGCTGCATTTAAAAAATATTCATTTAGTAAACTGTCAGCTGGACATGAAGCTTTGTTACGCTTTAAACGCCTAATTCCTTCGCGTACTTCTGTAATAGATATACGCTCATTTAATTGTTTAGCTACGTCATCATCAGAACTTATATTAATTTCGTCTGTGGACAAAAAATTTACAACTTCATCGATGCATTGTACCTGAATATCTTCAAACATTGACGAAAAATACTGTTTGAAATCATCAGTAGATAAGTCAGTCTTGTTATTATCGTGTTTTCTAAATAATCGCCAGAAGTCACGGGGTCGCGCATGCTTTAATTCTGTTAATTGTTTAGACATTTTTTGATAATGTAAATTTTTCTTTTATTCTTATTAATTGTTAATATGCATATTTTGCATTATTCAGTTCTATGTGATTTTCTTGAGTTTTAAAACTTAATAAGTGCCGCCTCGTAAATAGATCTTAATGATCGACATTCATAGTCAAACAAAGTTTGTTATTATCATCAAATAGTCGGTATATTACAATTTTTTTTCGGGTTTCTTAAATAATGGGTCTGCTATCTCACGAATAATACCAGTAAATTTATTGACTATATTGTCAAACAGAAAATCAAATCACGATTTCTATGATTTAATAATAACTCGTTAAAATCGGGCAACTTGGCAATTAAAACCGCGTCTAAAGTTTTTCTCATGGTCGGCATTCCATTTGAAATACGTAGAGATCAAAATTTGTATCAAGATTGACTTAGATCACGTATACGATCACAACATATTAAAAAACGCAATGATGCATGATCACTGAAAATACTGAAATTGTCAACGGTAAAATCGTGGATTATGGAAAAATCTTTTTCGCGCGCTAATAAGTAGTCAATTGTACTACATGATTTGTTATTCAAGTACGTGAGTTGAAATCACTACCAAGACGACCATTTACTATTCTAAATGTAGTAGCATTACATAGATCAAGTAATTGACTGCCGCGTGAATTACATTTTTGTCCTTTGAGGCCCGGCTAATGGTTCGGTCAGGACAATAACTTTCAGGGTCAATATCTGGTACAAAACTATCACATACAATATAGTCAGGGTTTAAGCCTACATTATAATCGCCAGCCAATAGTACTCGTCCTAACTGCTCGTATTCATATATATCATTTTGTAGTAAATCAAATAAATTAACATCGTAAACTTTAGCTGCAGGACTATCATCAGTCCATAGGTATAAACCACATAAATAAATATCAGATGAAGATTGAAAAAATATTTTATCTTACTTCAACCATAGTATACTGTCAAATGATTTTTCACTATTTCTATACCTGGAACAATATCTGATTTTATGTTTGTAACTATTCCACCACTACATCTTTTAGCATTTCTATGTCTAAATTTCCTGAAATAATTAAAATAACAATGATAATTTGGTAACTCAATCTGACTATTTATACATGTCCAAGATTCAATCATAAATATTATATTATTAGCAAATAATTTGTTCAAAAATGAGTCATCGCACAACTTTTCACTAGTCAATCTATTCAAGTTCCAGACTAACACACTAACTCCATTCTCCGCACTTCCCTAGTTATCCCTCACTGGCACTCCGTCAATGTATAATGTGTCGTATGATATCCAGGCCTTCTTGTTTCTCTTGTGGGCTGCTTTCATTTGTGGTATTAGTTTTTTTCTTTTCTCAATTATTTCTGACGGAAATTGCTCATTGATATAATAATTGGAGCCTTTGAGAATTTTGCTTTAGTTTGCTTTCTGATGAAGTCACGATCTTTAAATAAAGCAAATTTACATACAATACTTCTGGTAACGGAATTTCCCTGTTTCGGTGGTCCCAGTCTGTGGGCTCTATCGATGCCTATGTCTTTGATTCGGTCGAATCTAATTTTCAGCTCCTTACTCATAAAATTGCGGAGTTTGCTCTCCGTTTCTTCCGGTCTCTCATATGGATGTTCAGTTATGTTTGTGAAGATAAGGTTATTCCTCATCGACTGCGACTTCATTTATGTCAGCGATTCTTTAATTTTGGTATTCTCGTCAATCAGAGCATTGATTTCATCGCTTCCTGAATTGTCTACAAATTCTAGGTTTTCAACTCTATTATCAAGCTTCGTTATCTTTTCGTTCCTTTCAGTGCTCTGCAAGCCTTCTTCCATCCCATTAGAAGTCATGTTATTTAAAACAACAACAAGAAAATAACTTGAATATATTAAGACTGTCGCAGAATGAAAACTGTTTTGTAATCCTTTATAAATATGTGTATCTATATTTTGATATTTTGACTATCCTGTGCATGGAATATTTCTGTTTCCTTATATAGTCAAAATTTGATAGGTTATTCACTGGAGTTGTTTGTCTAGAAAAAGTGCTAAGTAAGGCACACCTGTACAAATTAGTAACTTGGTTGGAGAGCGTGGACTGATCACTATATAATAAGCTGAGACGGTTCTTCTGTGCTCAGTAACCATCTGGAGACCCCAGGTCAAACTTTTGAGCAGAAGACATTTTTACTATTAACTTAGCAGGAGTTTTTAATGTTTAAAGATGTTACTAATGGACAAGTGGTACATCAGAGGTGTGCTATATATTTCAAGCATTTTTTACTTGGTTTATTTTTTGCTCACCTTTATAGTTTATTGCATGAGCTTGGATTATTTTATTGGATTCTTATAATAATCCAAATGTTCAAAATTGATAATGAGCAAAATTAAATAGAATGATGGAGAAGATTTTAATTTAGAAATATTTGCATTTTTAGTGTACTTTTGTGTTGATCTGGAGGGCTGATTTTGATTAAATTCTGTTGATTATCGACTGCTGTTGATCTTGCATTATGTATTACATGGTTAATGTATATTTATAAGTTGCATATATTTATCTTGTTTTAGGTTATAACAGTTCACCGGAACAAGTATCACCTCCGGTGCAGACGAGTCAACCGCCACCTTTTACTGAAAATAAATGTAAGTATTTTAATATTATCTCGTGTTATTTCCTTTGACGTAAATTTCAGAAATTAGTGACTGTTTAAATATTATTATCTATTATTTTTCCAAAGTCTTAGCAATTATTGACCATTTAATGTGAATTTGCGAAGAAGACAAATCCAATGAATATTTTATTTGAACCACAATTTACAATTACAAGTACATGTAATGTTAAAAACGAATGATATCATTATAAAATGAAATGAACTTAATTAGTGTTTTGAGTCCTCCACCAGTAAAATTGGAAAGTCGCCATATGAAATTTACTGTTTTTGTGTGACAAACAACCCAACCGAAATAATAAAAAAATATAAAAAAAAATTGATTGCATTGTGATTATTAGAAATTGTTTTATTTTGTTGGAAAAAAAATATTTTAAATTATTTCAATTATTTTCAATAATTTTCCATTTTAGGTCAGTATCAGATCTCGGACTCTATGCAAGCATTAAGCGATGTATCAGGTGGTTACGAGGAGAACTATCAGAGCCTAGAAGATAAACATCCCGGTTACTATGGTGATCAGAGTCCTACAGAGTTCTATCCAAAGATGCAAGAACAGAAATACCGACCTCCACCATTGCAGAGTATGTGCAGAGGTAAAACTTATTTTTCTGGTCCTTCGGGATCAATGATGCCAGCTCTATTGAGTGTTGAGAATTGAGTACCGCTCAAGCAGGTGCTAGGGGGCGTGAGGGATGTTGCACTTTTTCATTATCCCTCATGTACAGACTCAATCAAACCGGGTCTGCAATTCTTTTGTAATTTTTGTTGTGATAAATGCTTCCGAGGGATCACTTTGTTTCCAGATTTTTTGTTCTTATTTTTGAAATTCTCTATTTTGAAATAGATTTTCATTTTTTTTTCTTCGCAAAATATTTTGGATGTTGCTTTACTATTATGTAATGTTACATAACATTTTTTTCCAACATGAGAACTTCTAAAATTAGAGTCATTGTTAAGTTATTTTTAGGAAGATTTGTATTAAATCCTGAGTTACTATACAATGTACATTGTTAATCCCTATTGGTCCTTTTTAAATAACTTTTGTACACATTCTATTTTTTGACTGAAAAAAAAAACAACTAAAACAAAAACTAGTGCTAATAAAGGATTGGTTACATGAAAAGTACTTCTAATAAAATATATAATATCATGGAATGATCAATTTTGTTAACAACATGTTATTTATCATGATTTTTTTTCTGTAGGTCAGTACATGCCTCCCGAGGCTCACTCCCAGCCTCAGACAGAGAGTTACTTCGAGCCTCATCATCAGTACCCTCAGATGGTTCCCAGCATCAAGACTGAGATGCCTTGGACCCATCGTGATTATCCGGGCTGCAGGGACATGAATGGTACCTGGTCTCCTACTGATCTCAGAACAAATATGTCGCGAGCTGGGTACCATCCGTTACATAATTTAGGGGACATGGGACCACAGTGTGGCGAGGGAAAGCCAATGATTCAGGCCGCAGCATTAGCGGGGTATTCAGGTATGTTACGTAATATTATCACTTAACTGAAATAAGTTTTTTTATTCTAACATATTTTGCAAATTACAAATATTGTGCTATATGTTTATATAAAGTATTTTTGTCGTGATTTAGAAAATTTCATACATTATAATCAATACCAACTTTGAAGTTTTAACATATTTTCCCATTATCAAGATTTTATCAAGATTTTTAGCTAGTGTATTATTTATGTTATCAGGGTTTTTTTTCTTTCATAATTTCAGGCAGCGGACCAATCCAGTTATGGCAGTTTTTGTTAGAACAACTGACCGACAAGTCATGCCAGCATTTCATAAGTTGGACTGGTGACGGATGGGAATTCAAACTTTCCGACCCAGATGAGGTTGCACGACGATGGGGAATCCGCAAAAACAAACCAAAAATGAATTACGAGAAATTGAGCAGAGGACTCCGTTATTATTATGATAAAAACATTATTCATAAAACAGCGGGAAAACGTTACGTGTATAGATTTGTATGTGATCTCCAAAGTCTTCTGGGATACACACCGGAGGAATTGTGGGAAGCATGTGATATCAAGCCTCAGAAGGATAAAGATGACGAGTGAAAAGGTTGTGGGGGTCATCCTAGGTCAAGGACAGTATTTAGAAATTAAGGTCAAATATGTCTGAACCAAGGTCGAAGGTGACTTGTTAGAGGCAGTTAGTTAGTGCCTTAGTAATTCATGTTCAAAATTGATGAACATCAATTAACTATAGAAATGGAAGAAGTAGCGTGAGATAGAACGAAAGGTGTTTGCTGAAACACATAGGGAGAGAAAAAAGCTTAATAATTTAAATAAGGGCAGCATCTTGCATAACTAATGGTGATCAATTTTTTATTCTATGTAAAAATTGTTCTACATGTAAATTATGATTTGTAAGATGTTTTATAAAGTCATGTACAGGCAGAGAGAGAGAGGAAAAACCTGATGAAACATGTATCATTTTTAGTGACAAAGGATTAAAGGTCAATCATGGGAAATGACCTTTATAGGGTTTTTTTTGAAAGGTTGAGAGCGTTGCATTTTTGAGTATTGACTAATTAAGACGCATCAGGATTATTGTGGTGCGAAAAAAGCAACAACATATATTGTGATATGAATAAACTTTTTTTTTATTTGTTACCTGTATGTATATACTGAAGACATTTAAATGTTTAATATCTTAATGTTTTCTTTTATGTGAAAAATGTGTTTTTATATAGAAATGACTTACAAAATACAGAAGAAATGAGTCAATTCCATGGTTATCTGTATGTTTGTTAGTTACTGAACATTAATGTCCTTCCATATATAGAATGTTAAAATAACAAACAATAAACTATAGGGAGTAACTTAAAAAAAATTAAGAAGGGTTTTCCAAGTTTTTTTGTTAGATAAAATACTTTAAAAACAGCTGATTTTTTAAATATTTTTGTTTTCGCTAGCTCAGTAAACTTTAGTTATATTATTGAAACTCCGCCAAATTTAAAAAAAAATGTTAAACGTTTTATAAATGTATATTTAAAACATCTTTCCCGTCTGAATGTAAAAGTGTTCTTTACTATAGTATGGTTTTTTTTCTTACGACAGGAAAAATGGCATCATTTTACGCCAGTGAGATGATTTGATACACGTTTATTTGTCATTATGATTATGCATAATAACTTGATGTAAGTGATAATACGGCCATAAATTACCAAGATTTGGGGCAGTTGGTCACAATTTTTGTAAAAATTTACTTCAAAATGTATTTTTCCATTTTTCGATCTTCAAAAAAAAAAAAGAAAAAAAATAAATAGGAGTGGATATCAAATGTACATTATATGGACATGTCATTTAGGTTGATTCGTAAATTTCGTTTTTTTTTACTGAAGTCTTAAGTTTCTATAGTTTTACTATTGGAGTGAAAAAAAAGAAATTTGAGTCTTTTTGTAACTATTCAGACAGTATTCGAATCTTGATTTACAAGACAAAATATTCAAATTCAGGCTGCATAATGTGGCTTGTTTCATATTAGAACTTTTAATCTTTACATATTTAAAATATCTTATTTACTATCCAACTTTGAAAATAACATTTACAAATTGCATGCAATAAAAATTGATTATTTTACATTATTTTTTAAACAGAAGATCAGAATGGAAAAAATGATTGAAAAAAGAAATTCTTTGTTGAAAATCTAAAATAACACTTAGTTAAATCTTTTCATAATTGAAAATTTCACTTTAAGGTTAGATGTTTTGTGTTTTTTATTATCACATCTTGTACAAATATATAATGAAATGTGCCTTGTAAAAAGAAAGTGCTTTAAAACTGTTCAGAATTTATTTTTTTGTTCACTGAGCAGTTTTGTACAGTATTTACAATTAACTTAAGAAAAAGCCTGGTATAGCCTGGGAATAACATGCATGAATACTGCAACAACTTATTGTTTAAACACCATTTTAACCTGACTTGAATATTAAAAGTGAGTTTTATATTTATATTCTGGATTCTTGAATTTTATTTTTGTAAATTATTTTTATTAAATTCTATCTAGCTCATGAAAATACAAACCATTTTATTATGAAAAAAATATAGATATAAAATGTTCTTGTTTATGCAACTTATAAGTTTTATTATAGATTTTTTTCACTGAAATTACTTGGTGTTACTAAAATATCCATAGTGGCTTAATTAATTTGACAGTCATTCTTCTTTTTACCAAAGCCAGTCATGCTTGTTTATTACCCATGCTGTACCTGGTTAAAGTTTTTTTTCTATTTATTTAATGTACATAACATTTCATGTGTTCATATAATTCAACTTTTTCATGTGTTCATATAATTTTGACATTTCTTCATGTGTTCATAGTGTTGATAATATGCCCAGAACAACTTACATTATACAGTAGATAATTTGAACTTAAAATGATAACTTCAATTATTTTTCAGGGATATTGTATAATATGTTAAGAAACAGAACAAATTATATATATTAAAAAAAAACATTATAGATGTATATGTTATTTTTTTCCATTTTCATTTTGATAAATGGAAAAATGTGACAAAAGAGGCCTTATGTAGTGGCTCATATTGTTACATATAAAACATCTTTTAATTCAAATGAGCCGTGTATATTTACAATTTAAGGAGAATTTTGATTTAAACATTCTTTTCGCATTTATTTTAAATCTCGCTACAAAGAATCTAACTTGTGTACATGCATTTCTTAAAAATATTTCTAGATAATGCCAATATAACACAGTGCTCTGACTTAAAGTAAGTGTTCATTAAACAATGACACACCATAGTCTGTTTATAAGTTTACAAGTTTCTCCTGTCTTGTTAAAAATTGTTAGTCAAATTTGCAATGATAAAAATGTGTTCATAAATAAGCAATCTCATTTCAAATGTTTTTTAGTTTTGTTGTTGTTTCTTCTTTTTTTGTCTTTAAAAACATTAGTATTTTGTTTGTACAGAAATAAATTTATTATGTCAAAGAAAGAATAAAAGTACAAATTTGTTATATCAAAATTGTGTTCATAGTTTTTATAGAGATTATTGAAATATAGTGGTCTGGTGTTCAACAAATATAGTTGTCTCCTTACTCAATTATCAATAGACGAGAAGTCCGAAACAGTAGGAAAGTGGGTTGTGTATGCCTTGATTAACACATATTGGAACAGTACGTAAAAAATTTTCGTTGGGTCTTTAATGTGTATATTTTTGCAAGTGGTCAATAAGCAATGTTGAATACTGAAAACAAAGACCGGGAATCAAAAATAAACAGAAATACAAAGTAGTTGAAAAGTTTAAAGAGATTTCTGATACAGAATCAGTGACTGAAAATATTTGAATAGTTCTAGAACAAAGAAAAACAAAGAAACAAACAATATTATACTGTTTTTCTAAAAAATCACTAATGGTAACAATATGAAAATAAATGGTTGGTTTTCCCTTGTTATAGAAATTGTGTTAAGTCTTGTTTTTCTTAAATACGTTTTTTTGTGTAATTTTATAAAAATACTATTTTGTTATATAATTTTTAAGAGATTCAAGTATATTTGTGTTCATTTACCTTTTAACATCCATCATTTGTTTTTAAAGTCTAGTCTAAAACATTAGTTTACCATTTTTGTGTTCATACAAAGCTTAAAAGAAGAATCTGATACTACCAGAGTTGCTCCCCCTGTTGCTGTAGTATCAAGTTTTTGTCTCCCTTTAGCTCATTTCAGATGTTTTTCAGAATAAAAATCATTTTAATTTTTTGATGCGTAAATCTCTAGAATCATTCCCTTATATATTTTTTATTTGACAAATAACATATTTTGCATAATGGATTTTTTTAAATAATTTGATGTAGGAAAACATTCCTAAAATGAACAGAGGTATTCCTAAAATGAACAGAGGTTTCCTAAAATGAACAGAGGTATTCCTAAAATGAACAGAGATTTCTGATAAGTTTCCATATATCAATTTTTCTTGGGATTGTCACAGGTGTGTCACACTTAGTAAAATCACAAGCTAAGGGGAGTAACTCTATATGACTTATTAAGCTTTAGTTTCATTTGATCATAAATTGTAACAAAATTGACAACATAACACTCACGTGAACACATGCATTATCTTATGTTGTTGTTGATGATGATGGTGTTTCTGTTGTTAAGATACGGTTACTAGAGACTGTTATATATGTAATTTCCACGTATATGTAAACCAAACAAAACTATTGATATATTTTTTGTAAGGTATATTTCTATAGTACGATCTGTATGTAACTATTTGCTGAAAGCATAAAAATTGTTAAATAAAGAGACTGTACACTTTTCAAGCTTTGTTACTTTATATTTCAAGCTTCAGTAAAGGACTGTAGCTGTTTGTTTTGATGGTGAAAGTGTCCGTTCTAACTTTCATGGAAGCAACATAACTTAAACAATTTTGCTGCTGGTGAACCTTGTTCCTTGAATGAAGACCTTTCACAGTTGTTCAAACAGTTCGATTCCATGCAGAACTAAGGTTTCTATGGCAACGAAAAAGAAAATAATCTCTGAAACCACAAGACCAGTTCAGGATGTAACCTTCACAGAGTGGCCGGGGTAGAGCAGTTACATTTTTCTACAACAGTTTCAATTTTTTCTACAATAAGACTTTAAAATAAATTAAACCACCCTAGAGTAATACCTTTCAACAGCAACCAAAATATTTGCCTTCCAAAGGAATGTTGCTCCGGAGACTTTGTACTGTATATTAAGACTATAGAGAATGTAGCCCTCTACCAATTTTGAGTTCAAGTTCAAATCTGTATCAATTGTTGATTAAAATATAATAAAATGAAATAGGAGAATCTTATGAGAAACAATTCTGACCTCTACTAAGAATCTTCATATCATGACATTGCTTGTGTATAAAGTTCGAAGAATTTCTGAAACCATACCATTAACAGCTTAGATAGCGATCTTTATTGAAATAGAGTGAAAATCTGAAGTCTTCTTAAAATTGTAGACTTCTGATTTTGATGAATATGGGTATTTTATAATTTAGTTCATACTAATTTATTTTAGTTAGGTTGTGTTGGAAGCTATAAGCTTTTTGAAGCAATCTCGATTCCGTCCCTGGAACCAAGCAGTACTAAGCAATGAGTGTATAGTTCACGGAAACAACGACCTTTGCCACTGTCATGGGGCTTGAGCACACGCGACTAACAATCCTTAGATTATTATTTTGTCCGACGTGTCAACCACTCGGCCACCATTTTATAGCCTGCTCAAAAGCATTGAAAGTTCGCCATATTGTTGGTCAGTAAAAGTTCAATTTAGAATAACGTTGTTTGTTGGAGTTTCCTACCCTACTGGCGCTGTTCAATCTTTTATGCAAGTATAATAATAATATGACACAAATTCTAAAAGAAACACGTTTTATGATTTTCTACAATAGTACGTGAACTTCTCTTATAATGCAACAATACATCAGACACTATTTGTTACAAGTGTTCAAGTTCGATACAGAGTCTATCAATGTTAAATAAAACTCATGATTCCTTGGCCCTTTCTGTTGTTGGTTGAAATAATATCATGTCAATAATGATATTCCTCCCTGAAAAGTAAAAGACAAAAGTCGCCATCTTTTCCTGTATCTATTACATGTACATCATATTTAAGCACTGATATGATGGAATTTAACTTAAGTTTTCCGCAATTTACCTTGTCATATCATATTTTGTCCGTACTTTAAGGGTCTCCACTGAGATTTTCGGACATTAAAGTACTGGCAATATTTTTCAGACATTTGTATACAATTTGGTGATCATTCCCTCAGTCCGTTTTTGCAAGAATAATCATTTTTATTTTGTAAAATGACCAGAAAAATGAAAAGCGTTACAGAGCTTTTCATCCATTATGTGGTTTGAATCGCACAAGAAATTGATTTTCAATTTAATTTTTAGTTAACTTCTTTATTATACAGATGTCTACATTTAGATGCTTTAATTCATACATGTAAGAATTTCAAATATTATGTTTTTTAGGTTTTTTTGATCTCAGTGGAGCTCTTTTAACTTATAATTCCAGGGAATTTTATGTTACTAACTTCGCCCGTACTTTACTTAAATCATTTCAGGGAATTTCATGTTACTTACTTTACCCGTACTTCACTTTTATCATTTCAGGGAAAATTATGCCACTTACGTTGTCCTGACTTTCTTTATATCATTTCAAGAGAATGTCATGTAACCTACGTTGTCCGTTCTTTACCTTGTCAGCTCAGAGAATTTAATGTAACCTCCGTTGTTAAGTTGTTTGTACTTGATTTATGTTATCCAGGAAAATTCTTTTAACTTATATTTTCTGGACTTCATACTAGTCCGCTCTACAAATTTATTATCTTTATAGATCTCTTTGGTGGGATATTCCGATGTGTTTTCAGATTATTCGGCATATAGATTAAAAATACTGATATTTTATTGGTACAAATTATTTTTGGCAATATGGACAATAATCGCACATAAATCGGCGTTGTTCGAATATAATTGCAATTGCCTTCTTACTGTCCTTCCTACTGTTTTCCTTTTGCCATTAACATCTTATCATATTGAAAGAACTGCAGTCTTTTGAAAAGTAACATGTTAGTCCCTTAGTAAAACCTTACGACTCAATCTGTTATGTTCTCACTCACGGTTTGACGTAACCGCCTGGAACCGGAAGTGACTGACATTTGTCATCGGTGTAGAACTTTGAATCAGCCTGCAATTCCGTGAGCCTGTCAGCCTGACAGGAGTAATGGCGTAAACTTTGGATGCACATTTCCAAACAAAAAACTGGGTAAACCTATCGCAAAATTCATTTAGCACCTCGTCACATACATAGACAAATTGTTATACATGTATGTCATCATTTTTTAACAAAAAACATAGGATCGACCAGACCTGACTAAAATGAAGTTACGCGGTGGACTCCCGGAAAAGTTCAGTAACAGTCAATCCTTTTATCAAAATACGACCCCTTACTGTTGCTAATATATTTGTCATATATATCGTATTCCCTCTCCAACTAAGCTGGCCTTTGACTTATTAGAACCAATAACTGACCTTTGAATAATGTTGTTTTTTTAACCATTGCCGGTGGTAAAGCATACAACAGGAAAAGAGTATTGCCGGTCTGTTTTAAGCACTTTTTTTCCGGATTTGGCGTACAATAACTTATTGAAGCAATATCATACTTTCTTGCGAATATCTTTGATTTTTTGTTTTAATAAATAGATAAAACGAATTGGTAAAACAAAAAGTTGCTTTTATCCTTTGATCTTCTTTTATTTTTTTACATTCACCACTAACAACTGGGGGCCTACTAACAGACGGTCCCCGCAAATTGACTGTTTCGACAGTCTCGTGATTATACATATTAAACTTAATTGATTTGACCTGAAAAAAAATAAAAATAAAAAATAAGTAGGCAATAAGTAAATTCTCTAGAATGATAGTTTATTGTGGTCAATATGTTGAAAGATGTTGAAAATGACAGTAAGATTAAAATTGAAATTTTATTTAAGACACGAATGCATTTATTACACTGCGATAATTAATTGATTTATGATATATATTTATACATTATATGTAAATTACAACTGAATAAACATAAAATCTGAATTACTATAAAATATTTAATAGCATGTACTTCTTTCGTTATTATTTTTTTATCATTTCTTTTTCTTTCATCATGTAAAAATATTGACAATTATAAACTATTGTCCTAAAGATCTTAAACAACCCTCCAATCGATCGTCTTTGGAGACTGGGGACCGTCGATCATTCAATAGGCCCCCAAAATTCTTGTCTATTTTTCTATACAATCGTCTGAGAGAGATAAAAATAAAACTTTGCACTTTTTAAAAATCATATTTGAACAAAAAGCCAAAGATTTGTACTCTATACGTGAAAGAACGTAGAACAGTGTTTCTAATAAATAAATAAATAAATAAATAAATAAATAAATAAATAAATAAATAAATAAATGAATAAATAAATAAATAAGTAAATAAATAAAATAAATTAATTGATTAATAAAAAAATAAAATAAATAAAAAAAATTAATTGATTAATAAAAAAATAAATGAATAGATAAATTAATATTTAATTTTTAATTTTCAGTTATACACTTACGTACGACAGCTAAAGATGAATTGGAAGCCATATCGTCCATCTCCACATATTTCTTTTTTAATTATATTATCAAACGTTTGCGTGTGAGTGCGTTTACGGGCAGGACATGGTTAAGGGGGTGGTGGATATAAACAGAGTCATTAAGGGAGGACCCTAGATAATCTTGGTATAACTTTTGAACCAACCCTTTTGTATATACATTTTATTTATGCTTAAGATAATGATGTTGGATTGTGTGCATTTTTCATGTACACAATATACAATAAAATATCAGTAAACTAAAAATTAACACAAGTTATCATTGAGATCTAATGAATCATATTGCTTTACTCTTCTGAAAATATCTAAAATTGGTTGTTAAGCACGCTGAACATATTATTCTGAACAATGAACAAGAAAAGACAACTTTTTCTCTACTTTGTCATCAGTTTCATAATTCGTGTGGGAGATTGATACACTTGTGTTCTTTGACTAGGTACCGGATGTAGTAGTTTCCTGATGGTATCAACTATAAAACATCATTTCTTGTAACTTATGTAGCAACGTTACTGACTGAAGTAAACAAAATCACAACAACAATGTTCTAGTAGGACTTGTGTGGACAAAAGAGCAATTATGTGATATAGAAGCTAAACATGTCATGTAATCAGAACATTTGTAAAGAATAACGTATGTATTGCCGTGCACGACATCGGAATTATTACCTAATATTAGTTTATAACCAAATATAAAACGTAGTTTAATATATGTCTTACGTTATAAGATAGCCCTGTTTGAGAAGACTATTTTATATAAGACAACTAGTTGAAGTAGTCGCATTACATGTATCATTTTGTAGCGTGGGCAACAGCATACTGTTCCCAATTCGAGACGCACTAATTACATACATGCTGAGAGTGAGAGACAAACAGCAAAGAAATTATTTCATAAAAAGTAAAGCTAGCATGCAATTTTGTTGAAAGATACCAATTACATAATATTCAATGCACTCCTTGCAAATAGTTTTATTTTAACAACAAACGTGTTTTAGCAAAGAAAAGGGTACCTCGATCATAGAAGTGCAACCTGAAATGTATTTACCACAGTTTGCAAGCAACGTACAACAGAAATTATCACGTGATTTTACAATCATGCTGGCGATTATTTTTGTTAAAAAAGTAAAACAGGCATAATTATCG